AGAAGCTGCGAAACGAGCAGCGGATCCTCTCGAGCGAATTTCTCTTCTCTTTCTCGCTCGATTCGTCGAGCGAGAAAGAAGAGGGGCGCGACTTCCCGTTCGCGGGGATCTCTGTCGTGTCGTTTAGCGGCGCGCGGATCTCGTAAAACGGAACGATAAATCATCGGCTCTTATGTTTCTCTATCGCGCAAATAATATTACGTCCAAAGGCAACTGTTTTACAAGTTACTGTATAATGACAGATCTCGCGCGCGGCACCACCTAACAACGCCCAACAGTCGCTATAAAACTTAGCGTAATGTATACTTTCGCGCCGGCCGCGGCTTGCCTATAATACTATCGCCAGCTTCGCTCTCTCTCTCTCTTTCTCTCGCTCTCAACGACCGCAACTTATTACGATAAAACAGTTAAACGCGAAAGTGCCCGTAATAATAGCGACTACCGTAATGACTACTGTTACCCGGTAGAATCGCTGTTATGCATATTACCATTATAATTCGCGGATTATTAAGTAGCCTGCAACGACTTGACGTCCAGCCTGTCGCAAGGCGAACTTTAAACAGACTCGAAATAAGCTTCCCGCGATGATATCAGCCTCATTTCAAATTTATATCATTTGTATCGCGATTTATTCTTCCGTCTAAAAAGAGATCGCTTAGAGTTATCGCTTCGTACGATTTATATATCAAAAAATTGGTCAGTAATATCGCTATCTTTTCTCGTAAATCTGATGGATCGAATTTTGCAGTCTAAATTCAATTTGTCGCATTCGTTACTTATTTATCGCAGGTGATTCTAACGTTAAAATTATTATATATTTATTTCGTCATAGCGGATTATTTTCCGTATAATATTTCCTCGGATTATTTCACGACGTCGAGCGGCGCAAATGCTTTGTTTTGTGTTAAAAAAAAAGGGGGGGGGAAAAAAAAGCGAGAATCGCGGGTTCTCGAGACAAAGAACGCGCGATACGCGAAATGATTCCATTTCCCGAGTTCGATGACGCACCCCCGGGTCCGGTGCCAAGCCCGGGAGCTCGACTGATCAAGGGTGATGCGGGAGAAAGAGGGAACGAGGGTGGGCTCGGTGAGCGGCGGTGCGATGCTTCGATTTCAAATTTCCTATTTCCCGACGAGTTGGCCTGTGTTGAAAACGTAGCGTGCAACGTAACAACGCGTACGCGAGAACGAGAAAGCGCGAGGGTGAGACGGGGGGGGGGAGAGGGAGGAGGAGAAGAAATGACGGTGGAACGCGGTAGCGATGGCCGGGGGCGGCGGCGCCACGGCGGAATACCGGCAACCCCGCTTTCGCCGAGCATTTTTTCGATGATTTTCGAACGCGCGAACACGCTGTACGTGTATGCGCGTACCTTCCTCCGTGCGCGTATACACGAACGATATACGCGAACGATATACGCGAACCCCGATCACCCCCTTCGGCTGGGTCGTCGATGGTTGGCGTTGTTCCGCCGGGGATGCCATCGGAGGAAGAGCGGTAACGACGGGCGCGGCGGGGCGAGGGAGAGGGGACGGGCGGTGGTAGTCGGCGGCGGAAAGGCGTTAGGGTGCCCCTGAGTGGAAAGAGGAGGGTGGTGCAACGGTGTCGGTGGTTGCATGAACCGGCGGATAGATAGAGAGCGAGGGTGAGCGGCGGGGTGGCGTGCGAACGGAGATAGAACGGCCGTGAGATACGGCCGAGGGAACCTGGGGGGAAGGCGACGGCGGTAGTGGGCCTGCATGCACTTTTTTTTCCGCACCCCGCGTATTGATCCCGGAGTCATTCAAAATGGCGGCCGGGGCCGAGTCAGCCAATGACTGCCTGAATCGATGACTGCAGCGAGCCACCCCCGGACCGGCCAATGGGAGGCCAATGGGAGGCCGTCGCACGCCGTTCTCTGCGGGAACTACCACCCCGATATATACGAGACACAGGCCTCCCACGTTGTGTACTCTGGTACACACACACACACACACACGTATACGCGTACACGTGCATGTGCTCTGTGCCCGTGTACATGTAGCTGTTCGGTCCGCCGGGTAGAGCTCGTCGATGACCCGGGCGACGTCAATGATTTCCACGGAAAATTTTCCCCCCCAAAAATGGCAAAACTCGCCGTTCGCTACTCCGGCCAGGTATCCCGGACCGGAGCTCGCTGTCGCTTTGATTAACGGCCTTTCTATGTATATATTCCGCCACCCTTCCTCTCCTCCTCCCCTCGGTCGGTTCCCTCGTACTTTACGGCAAATATACGAGACGGAAAATACTGATTGTGCGCGCGGGCAAAAATATTCGCAATCATCGACCGGCGTCTGCCATCTTTCATGATTCGCAGACTCTCGCCACCGTCACGCCCGGCAGCTTCGTTGTATGGTATATATAAACGAGACTCGTTGGCTACGTTTATAACTCGAAATCATTAAAAAAAAATCATTTGTCTCTCGCTCGTATCATTCCGATGATATAGATATAACGCGCGATTAACTTTATCTTTGTATTCTCATCGCAGCCACGCTATCGCATCGTACATTTTCGGATTGTCTAATAAATTATTTCGTTCTTTCGTCGCTTTTAATATAAAATTGCGAAATTGACAAGAATTTCCGAATAATGAAAGACGATTGTTCTTTTAAACAGTTCCGCGCGTCAATTACGTACAATGATCGTGATTCAGTCAAATTGGCGCTTTTAAAAATTAAGTCCAATATATAATTACGTCATCTTTTTACGAGAAAGACGGATATTTCTGGCGCGCGGTTTTCCAGGCTTCGACATTCAACCAGCGCGAATTTTTACATTCGCTCGTAAGAATGATACGCGTCGTATTTTTCCGATAACGCGAGACGCGGCAATTTTTTCTTTCCGGAATGACTGTCGCGCGATGCCGAAGCTCATCGCGCTATCTTCTTCACCTTGATCCTGGATACGCTTATCTTATCTCGTTCGCGGTTCGCGCAAAGTCTGAGAAAAATACGAGAGAACGCTAGATACACTCGGTACTCGGATCGACCGCTCTTCGCGATCATCGTCGCGCGGGATCCTCGGGACGCGCTTCCGGGCCGCCTCGAGACCGAGGTCGATCCTCGAATTTGCTCCGAGGTTAAAATTTCAGGTGCGCACACCGACAGGATCGATCGATCGCGTCCGATCGCGGAATTCGTTGCCGCACTTTGCGCATAGCGCGGGGCAAAGAGAATGTCGAAACTGCGCGAGGCACGAGGCACACGATTGCATCACGAGTCGCAGTGTGCGGCGAGCTGCATTACGTCTGTGTGTGCATATGTACTTAGATTGGCTCCTATTGACACAGCCGCAGACGACGGTGGTGGTACAGTCGGGAAAAATGCATGCGACGCGTTCCGCGTCCGTGCCGTGCCGTGCCGTGTCGTGCCGTGAGCTTCGACAACGCTCACGCGCGCGCCTTTGATCTCGCGACGCGTATTTGACATCCCCGAATTATTTCGGAATCGACCTCGGCGATCGATTAACGGCGGATCCGATCGGCTCGTGTCCAAAACGCCGCGCTTCCGCTCGACGAATCTGCAATTCATTCTTTTTCCGCGCTTTTATCCTTTTCACGCGGCTAAATTATTCCCCCTCAACCGCGCCGCGGTCCGAAATAATTTGATTCATTACGCGCGTTTGCCGCGTTTGGTTATATTTAATGCGGCGATATATACGGTATGCACACGCGTGTGCATGCACGCCCGCTCGTCCGACGAGCGCGTTCTCATATTTAATGTAAATCAAATTTAGAAGCGGAACAAAGTACACCGGACAGTGGTGGTCGGACAGTCGATTCTACACGTTTGCTCGATTACTACGGTTAATTAGCCGTCCGTCCGAATGAACTTGAAAAATTCATGAGGTGTCTCGCTGCCGCCCGTTCAGTTTTTCGGATCGCTGACTCGCCTCGATTCCGATGCATTTCGATGACCTCGCTTCCGTGTTGAATGCATCGCAAATTGAAAGAACGCGCGCAGTTTTCCGCGAAACGGTTCGACAATTACAGCCCATGCTTTTTTTTCCACCAAAATTTATCCCAATCGAAAAAACGTTGCATTTAACGTGGCGCGAAATTTTGTCGACGCACGTCAAATCGCGTTGAATTTTATCGCAGCAATTTTACTCGTCGTTGAGAAACGTGCGCGTCTCGTCGCAAAACAACTAGGGGAGAAAGAACGGCCGATGCACTTTCTGACGCAGCTGTACTAAGTGCACGACGGAATGGGTTTTTCTAGCGCGGGCAGTTTTTCTATTAAGCTTCATTTGTTTCTTTCATTGCGTAATGCGCCGGACGCGTCGCTCATTTCATCCTACTGCCGACCGGCTACTCCTACCGTTAGAATTCTTAATCCGGGCCGTCAGTTTCGATGGCTCGCGTGCTGCACGTTCCACCGATTCGCCGAATCGCGACCGACGCGACGATCTTAATCTCATTTCCCGCCGAATAAAATAGTGCGTTTCCTCGTATTGCGACGTATTCGCCACGATAATGTGATAACGCGCGTGAGGTGATCGAGGATTGAAATCGATGTACATAGCTCGGTGAGTTCAATTGTCCAACGTCGCGCTTTTATTGCCACAAACGCATATCCCTTCTTTTTATATCTATAAATTTCAAACTTTACTGAAAAATTATACTAGTCTTGAGATATCTCGCTCGAAGATATTTCGCGCTATTTCACACGAATATTGTGTTAATTACGTACGAATATTAATTTATCTTCTTTTAAAAAATATAAAAAATATTTTTTTTTAATTATTTTAAAAAGACATTTTTTAATTTTTCAAATTTTTTATAGATTATTTTTATATATTTTTTTGAAACTTTTGCACATGTACTTAAATTTTATTTCAATAATAATATGTCATTTATATTTTTTTAATGAATGCGCGTATCGTGTAATCACACTTATCTCTCACATTTACCGTTATCGCCCCTTCGCCCTGATCGATATTTTACCGAGGTTAGCACGGACAAAAACCTTAAAACGACTCACCCTTTTCTCCACTCGTTCGTTCCTTATTTCGCCGCTAGACGTCACCTCGCCACGGGGTGGTTCTTACGAGGGGTTGAGACGAGGCTACTTCACACGAGCAGCAAAGCGAATTTCTGTAACAAAGCGATTCGAATAAATGATGTACATTTTTTTGCGTGTCAGATATTGGAAATTAAAAATTTATATATAATATAATCAACTATATATATAATTTTTTCTGGTTCAGCAAAATTACTAATATATATTGTAATATTATATATGTTGCCCTTCTTTTTTTTCCATTTCGGATTCATAACTGTTTTGAAAATCCGGTCAATGATTAATTCAAAATCAACTAATAATGAAAAACTATTTTCTTAAACCGAAATGAAAGAATTTGGAAAATCGTTAGGATACTAGTATCTCTTTCACGAGGCAGAAAATTCGAAAGACATGTGTGAGACATGAGGTAAGAAATATTCCGATGGCATTTTCACCACCTGACGACCATCTCGACACATTTTCGCGCACTCCCCCGCCGCCGGCACTTTCGCGAGGAAGAAGAAGGCGGACAATTCAAAGTAGGCAGGATCAAGCCCGGAAGACAAATGTCTTCCTACGCAGAGGCGTACGTCCTATCGGGGTAGTCGATCGGCTCGATTCTCAAAGCATCGCGCCGCGCCGCGCCGGCACAACTGGCCGTCAAAGTTGCAAGTGCACGTGCAACAACTTTCGTACGCGCCAAGTACTCGCGGTCTGTACGTCCGTTAGTCGGTTCTTCGAGTCCAGCTGCCGATCGGGATCAAGGGGGAATCGGGATCGGGATTGAGATCTAAAATGCCGCATACGTACGAAATGTCCATACGCACGTGCAACATACGCGTATATTCGCGCACAGCCACACGTATACCCGACAATCCACCCACCCGATAAACCGAGCAAGGAGGCTCGATTCTCACCTGTTTTTATCCTCGCGTACGGACCGGCCGCTTCATTTGTAATTTAAAGTGAGCCTCGATTGCCCAATGCGTTCTACGTACTTATTTTCGGAGCTCCAAAGGAACACATTCGCGCACGTATACAACGAGCGAATCCCTCTCTCTCTTTCTCTCCACCCGCATACGAGCGGTGCCGAAATTCTTACCACGGCGGCAGCCTGCCGCGAACGGAAGTTCGATCGCGATCGCTCCCCGGCCACTTTCGTGCCGGAGACCCTCGTGTCGGAAGTGCGTTACTTTCGTCCTATACATGCCTTCCGGTAACACTCGATCAACTGAATATTTCTCTACTTGAATCTTGCAAAAGAGCCAATCTTGGACATTTCTCCGCATAAGTATTTTTTTATGTGCTTTAAAGATGTACTTTTCTTAGCAAATCATGCCGTGTTGTTAAATTCGTTTCACTTTAATATTATTAAAAAGCTGAAATGTACTCAACTTTTTATGATTAAAAAAAAAGATTTGTATTTGAATTAATTGCAAAAGAGATTACACGCTGTTGGAAATAATACGTCGAGTTAAACTAACAATAAGAGGTCATCAATTCTCTGTCGCTCTTTCTAGTCCTATTCTCATATATATATATATATATATATATATATATATATATATATATATATATATATATATGCAACGAAGCGAGCTATACGTCGGAATAATCGATCTCGTAATACATACGAACGTCGTAGGATATCTCTTTAAGGAGCGGGAGACATTTTTCGACGGTCCATCGCACCGCAACAAAGAAAGTTACCGCGCGCGTGGTGTCGCACGTGCGACGAAGGTCACTCGATTTTTCCACCGTCGCCGGACGGCCAAACCATTGGCTAACTTTTTTCGCACGACGGTCCACCACCCTCGTCGCACGCGCGTTGGGAGAGACGCGGATAGGGTCGACACGATGTGGGTGGAGGGACGCGGCCGGACGCGTCGCGACGCTACGCTACGTAACGCTCTTTTCTTCGCTCGGCGTTTTTTATCATCTCTATCCTTCCAATTGAGGAAAGGGATAGAAGATTGGAAGGGTGGACGCGTTGTTGCGTCGTCTCGGACGACCAGCGGGAGTCACTTGCGCGGATGCTAGGGGCAGGGTGGAGAAAAAAAAAGGGGTCGCGCCTCCCCACCCTCTGCACTCATACTTCCACGTGTATACCACGTGGAAAAAAGGACGAGGTCAGCGTAAAAAAGCGGCGCACGGGGGTCGTCGCGTTGGTGGGAGGATGCGATACGAGGTAGCTGAGAAAGGGAGGGAAAGAGGAGAGAGAAAAGGACGTAGCAAAAGGATGTCGGATGGCGTACGTGAGGTTTAACGAGGGAAAACGTCGGTAGGAAAAGGACGGAACGAGGGAGGGTGCTGGGAGGGAAAAGACGTTGGCGGAGAAGGGAGGAATAGGAGCCTAATGCGATGGTGGGGCAAGTACATTAGATGAGAGAGCTCGGGAAGGAGGGAGAAGAAGGGTAGAAGGGGTGGGTGGCTCGGTTGTCTACTTTGGCGAGCGAGGGTGCGTAAGACGAGCAGGATGACCACCATCGACCACCCTCCGCCGTGAAATGAGCATCGGTGCGTCCACTGGAAAGTCGACGTCCTCCGCAAGGTCGATGATCCACGTTTAAATCGCGATTTGACTTTCAAAACGCGAGGGAGGTAAAAATGACGGGTGGGCCGGATATATTTGAATTTGCCTTCTCTCGGCCCGATCAATGGACCCGCGACGCGATTCGTCCATCGACTTAATCGCGTCATCGAGTCGCGAGCAAACTTTGTTACGTCGCATCGATGCGCGAATAAAAAAAAGAAAGTCCGCCTGTCCCACTCCCCCACGGTATAGTTAGTCACGCGTATGTTGCCATACGGGACACACGAGGGAGGAGGCCATTTTTATACGACGGTCCCCCTTCTTTTTATTCGTACCTCAGACTGTTACACCCCCTTACGCAGAAGCCCCTTACAATTTTTCGTCAGTCGAATACCCCGATTCGTGGCGTTCGCATGTCTCGCGCCAGCATTTATTTATATATACACGCCGCGCATCTCGGTAAACGAAGAGAGAAATCCTTTAATCCGCGTGGGAGTGAAATTGGCGAAAAGAGAAGAAGCGAGTGAGTTTACACGGAGGAGATGATCCGAGGCGAAAGTTTTCAAGGACGTACCCTCGACAAAAAGAGCTTGCTCGGTCCGAGAGCTCGTACCGGCCTCGCGTACTTACGTGCGCCGGAACGTAACCGCGAAGCGTAAGATAGCGATCGAGATAGACAGGGATAGATAATCGGTTCTTACGACCGTTTCCTTCCCTCCTGCCGGGAGGGTTTTCTTGGCCGGGCGAAACGGAGACGGAGAGCGGCCCCACTCTCTTTCTCTCACCCCTTACGACGCTACCCCCGTACGAGGCGTCGGCGGAGTCGGCGGCGGAGAAACCCCCACCCACCCACCTGGGCGAGGGGTGAAGAGAGAGGAGAGTTTGAGGAAAAGGGGGAGATAGAGCGCGCGCCTCGGCGTCGTGTCTGGTGGGGGCAAAGGAAAAGAGGGGTAGCTTGAAAACTCCTGTCCTACGGCGGCCTCAGTTTTTCGTCCTCACGGAGGTAGATTTTCGTCGTGGGTGGACGCGGCCGGGGTCACGAGTCGGTCCACGGTAACCTGGGCCCGCGCCCGGGCCCGTCGGACCCGCGGACGAGATCGCCGTGGTAAAGAAACGGCGTACGGCGAAGGCGCCCCGAGGTGGCCAGAAATTTCGCGGCCGCGCACCACCTAAGACAACGCCCCTACCCGAACACGCGTTCTTTAAGGCACGAGGGGGTGGCTTTTAGTCAGACGCACGCGGTCTGAGAAGCGCGCCACCACCGGCCCCCGACGGAGAAGGACTTAGCGTTTCTCGCGAGCCGCAGACCCGAGTCAGTTTCGGTTCCTCCTCCGTCAAGGACTCGAACGCGGAAGAGGAGAGAGCTTTTTCCCCCGTCGTACGTCATCGTCGTAGTCATCGTCGTCTTCGTTGTCGTTACCGTCGTCGTCCTCCGAAGAGGAAGAACAGTGTCTTGGCCGATACCGTGCACGAAGGTCGCGAGCTGCAACCGGACCGAGGTGCAACGATTTACGTATTACGCGCATTACCGACCATCGCCGACCGCATCGCTCCGTCAGCTTACTCTCGCCCGTACTCTTGGATCTCTCTCAGTAAGGGATCCTTCCGGATTCTTTCTCTTTGGAAAATTATTCCGTCCCGTATCGTCTTGTGTCTCAAGCTGTGTCAACGTACGACTCTGCGACCGGGGCTCGATTAGTAAACCCCGATCGACCACGCATCTCCTCTACTTTCTTCTTCTTTCTCGTGTCATTTTAGCCAGTTTTCCCCACTTTCGGCCATCGAGACCACCACTGACCCACCCCCTCCTATCCTCTGTTCCGAATCCTGACATGCCCGGTACGTCATCGTCGCCGTCTCAACAGTGTTTCGTCGCAATCGCACACGCTTCGATCTCGTCTCGATTCCCGGTAGTGATACGATGTGCTTCGGTAAGATCGCAAAGATGCGAGAACGAAAGGATGGAAGAGAAAGAAACAGAAAGGAGATCTCGATCATCGCCCGAAAATCCGTCCTACTCGCGCGAACCATCACGCGAATCATTGCTTTAATGATATTCGTGATCGCGGAATTACACAGCGAACAATAAACGTAACGAGTTGCCGTGTCGCGCGTAAACGAGTTAGCAATTATGCGAATATCCGCGCGTGACTATTTCGGATCGTTAATTCAACAAGCGGGCGATAATGCTCGTCACGTCGCGTAAGCCTGACATATGTCGCAACAAATTATTTGGCATTTCATTGACATTGTGTCAATCCTTTTCATTGGCAACGGTCTCCGCGAAAAAAATATGCTTTCGCGCTTTTGTTGGAGAATAATTCACGGGACGACGAATCAGCGTAGAAAATAGACATTTTCAAATTCATGAGAAAGAAGCGATGAAAGATTGGCGGATAAAAACGATCGCGGATGCAATTGTACGTGCGAACGATAGTGTTTAGTGAGATCACGCTCGGAGTGATGTTACATTGATACATTACCATATCTTACATTCCCATGAGAATATTCAGAGTGTTTCGAATATTTTTTTTTTTATCACATTCACTCCGTGCTTTGATTTATTATTTATCAGTACATTGACGTTATATTCGTCCCGTGAACAAATTTCAAACATTTCATTTATTAATGAATTATTCTCACATTGTCAGAATTGATCGTTTTTATTTCTTTATACCAAGTCTGCATCTTTACGTCACGTATTCCTTATCTTTTACATGTTATCAGCGATGAATTCCACGCGACGGCAAAAGACACTCGCGCTTTCGAGCCGGTCGATTTTCCTAAAATGCGAAACTAATTGAAAAATTCACGTTAACGAGAGTCTGCGTCGGGAAAAGGAGGGCACGAATTTGTATAATGTTAAATGTTATCGACACGAGAATTGGACGTGTCAAATGGACGAAATTTACCATGTCGCGTAATTAGTGCGTGCTTCTGACAGTGCTGGTTGAAATTATTGTTTGTGTCGCGGCCGGAAGTGTAACCCTTCATAAACGTCAGTTGAAAGAGAAACGCATTTAATAACATTACCTCGTCATAAGATTGTAAAATCTCGAGAATGATATCTTTATGATATCGTGAAATTTTATCCCGTTTTTTCATTCGTTTAATTCGATTTACATCGCGTTATTCGATATTTTCGATATTTTCGCACTGCGACTGCCGATTGTAAGCAATCCAACAAAAATCAATGTTTTAAATGACGTTTCCTCACGTACTAAATCTGTCAGATATTTAGATTTGATTGTTATAATAGGATCAGAGAACCCACTAGTGAATACTGTGATTGCTTTCAACTGATTAAATATTAAAAAAAAAAATACGTAATATCTAATTACGTATTTACAATATTTACATTCCGGGGAATGTTTTTCGCGGTTACGGGGAAAAACGTGTGAAACAGTTGCCTGACATTGAAAAATTAGTCGTGTCGATGTTAAATATGTTTGTTGCGCGTGGCATCGAATAACGCAAAAAATAAATTGTATTCTTCTGGATTGCAGCTTCGAGCGGGAGACGCGTTGCAGCGAGAGATTCCCGCGCAGGAGAGGAAGACTGGACAAAGCGGAAGAAGCAGAATAAGACGAGCAAAGCAGAAGCGGAGAAGCAGAAGAGCGCAAGAAGATCGAGAGCCGAACGAGTAGAAGCGGGGTTGCGAAGAAGAAAGTGATTAGCGAATTGATTGCGCGCATCCGAAGACAGCGATAAAGGAAAGATCGGGAGAAGTTACGGAAGCGCAGAGAGACAAAGATCGAAAAAGAGACGAAAAAAAATAGACGGAGACAAAGAGAGAGAGAGAGAGAAAGAGAGAAGAGAGAGTGAAGGAGAGAGAGAGAGAGAGAAAGAGAGCAAGAACAGAGAACCCCGCGCTGCATACATATATTTCAGTGTGTTCAAAAAACGAGTGTACCTAAGTGCAATATTAATTAAACCTAAACGATAATAAGAAGCAACCACAACTACCATCGACGATATCGGTAACGACGAGCGGTGATCGATAATCGAATAGAATTCCTTTTAAAGAGTTAAAACGCTAGAGTCGCATTTCGAGGAGGAGTCATCGACGGACGCGACGAAGCCGCTTATAAAAGAAGAGAGAATCGGAGGAAGCAGGCGGAAGCAGAAACGGAGTGACGGAAATCCCGGAGAGAAACGCTCTCGTCCCGCTTAAAAGAATTCACACGAATTCACCAACTCGAGCCGACGCGCGCGGCAGCGGACACCAACTTTACGAGCCTGTTCGAGCGCGTTGGAGCATTCACGCACACACACGCACGCACGCACACACCACACACGCACGCACATCCAACATAACGGGGCTAAAATACTCAGGGCAAAACGGGACGAGCAATAATCATCCGCGAGTGCGATTTCTCACCCCGAAGAGGAGCGGAGGCCCTTCCGACCGACAACCGATTCGCGTCCGCGTGGACTATCCTTCTCGTTCACACCGTCCGGGCTGGGCAATCCTGAATTTTAACCTGAACTTAAGTGTACGCTAGAATTTAAGTTAGATAGACGAAGGAAAATAGACCGTTCTCCCATCTGCTGGAGAACGTTCGCTCGCGCGCGCAACAACTCACGCAAAGCACACGCATAAAGCACACGTATATATACACATACACGTCGCACACACGACACAGAGAGGAGGGGGAGAAGAAGAGGAAGAAAAAACGAAGAGGGGAAGGAGAGAAGAGAATCCATCGACCGAACCGCGAAAACGCGAACGGACGCAAGCAAACGTATGCGGCAAGACAACGATCTGCGTACGTAACGAGCCATCACGATAAAAGACGCATTACGGACGTACAACCACCGGCGGTGCACTCGTGAGAGGTATCGCGACCGACAGCAACAGCTACGACATAGGGGAGGCGCGACAGAGAGGGAGAGACCTGGGAGAGGACCCGGAAGAGGGAGTGGAGAGATTATAAGAGGAAGTTTCATGAGCCAGGCGGTAGGTAGCAGGGCCGGGAAGTCGCAGCAGGTGGCGAGTAACTGACGTTGCCCGCCGCCCACGTCGAAGCTCGGCGCGGCGCGAGGATCGTTATCGTTACGACGATCCCGAGGCTGAAAGCAGCGGCCGAGCGAGAAGGAAGATAGGAAGGAACGGCGGCGAGCGCAGAGGTGTGCCGGCCGTCGAGCTGCTTACCGGAAGGGGTGCGAAAAAGCGGGCAAGCTGCGCCGGAAGGGGGTAGCCCGGGCTTCTCGCGAAGGCCTCAAAATTTCGGACGCGACGGCGGCCCTGGACCTGCGTGCTCAGACGCAAGCCCAACCAGACTTCGGCCAGCTAGACCACCAGCAGCCGCAGCATCACCATCAACAGCAGCCGCCGCAGCAGCAGCAGCAGCAACAGCAGCAACAGCAACCTCAACAACAGCCGCAACAGCAACAACAGCCGCAGCATCCGCAGCAGAACCAAAATCCAGAGTCGCGTCCTCACCATCACTTGCAACAGCAGCATCACCATCAGCATCACCCGGGGAATCATCTCCACTCTGGCGATTCGGGGGGTGGGATAGGAGGAGGAGGAGGCGGAGGAGGAGGTGGCGGCGGCGGCGGAGGTGGCGGCGGAGGTGGCGGCGGCGCCGGAAGCGCCGGTGGTGTTGCTGTTGTTGCTGGCGGAGGACTGCCCGTCGCCGAGCCGGATCGGTCCGCGAGGATCCACGACGACGACGAAGAGGATATCACCGAGCGGGAGGACGAGGAGGAGGACGAAGATCCTTGCAGCTCGCCGGAGCCCGACCTTGAAAACGAATCCGAACCTATGGAGATCCAAGCCTCGGCTGTTACCGCGGCGGCGGCGAATCTCCACGCGCTACGCCAACACGTATTCAAGATGTCGGATTATTGGCAGCAGCCACAGCGCGGTCCGCCTCAGCATTCGCCCGGACTACAGCATAGTCCTATCTCGAATTCGACCCAGCAGCAGCATCAACAGCACCAGCAGCACCAGCAGCAGGTCCAGCAGATGCACAGTCCGCTCAGTCAGCAGCAACAGCAACAGCAGCAGACCGCGGTCTCACAGGTACAACAGAACGCGAACGCGACCCTCGGTACCGCGAGTCCGCAACAGCAATTGCAGCAGCAGCAGCAGCAGCAGCAGCAGCAGCAGCAGCAGCAGCAGCACGCAATGTCGATGAATCAGACCAACCAAGGACCACAGCATCAGTCTTCCCCGGCACCGACGACGCCGTCGCCGCAGGCGGACCATCAGGGCGCCATCGCCTCCAGCATGGCCCAGAGCCTACACAGTCTTGCGCAAGCACAGCAGACCATGTCCCAAGCGTCGAGCCCGTCCCTGGCGGTGCAGGCCGTTCAGGCGGCTCAGGCGCTCAATCAGAATCTCGGTCAGGCGTTGACTCAGGCGCTCACGCAGAACATGCAGCAGAATCTCGGACAGACTCTGCAACACAATCTAGCGCAGAGTCTGACGCCGAATCTGTCGCCGCAGCAGCAACAGCAGCTGCTTAACCAGCCGCAGAATCTGAGCCAAGCGAGTCAAAGCCTGCAACAAAACATCCAGAACCAGGCGCAAAATCTGTCGCAGACGCTACAACAGCAAGCGCAAAATCTGACGCAGAATCTCGGCCAGGCGCTCAACCAGCAGGCGCTACAGCAGCAGGCGCAAAATCTCACGCAAAATCTGCAGCAACAAGCGCAGAATCTCACGCAGAATCTACAGCAGCAGGCCCTCAATATGGCTGGTACCATCGCGCAGAACGGCGGCCTCGCCGGGATGAATATGTCGGCCGGTCAACAGCAGAATTCTCAAAACTCGATGCTGAGTCCGGGCGCGACCAGCCAGGATTCGCACGACGCCACACTCACGGAGAAGCTTGTCAACGAATTGCAGGTGAGAAGCTGCGAGCGCAAAGAGGCTTTTCCAAGTTTTTGCACTCGCCAAACGCAAAAACTCCTCGTTGCACTGTACTACGCGCACACATCTTTTTCTATTATTTTCCGAGATTTTGCGAGAGAAACGAATCTCCCGCGAGCGTATCCACTAGGAGGAGAGCAGCGATAAATAACTGGGACGAGGCGACCGCGATAAAAATACATAACGCACCGATAAATAGGGTCATTCACTCGGACAGACGCCGGACAATACATACTTTCGAGAGCGAAGTTTCTTCTCGCGGAGAAAAATATTTATTCAACGACGCTGTCGATGCGTCGTCGATGAGCCCTAAGTATCGCGAGATATCAAGGTCCCACCTATATATATATCAGCATGTAAATAGCGTCATTCTTGTAAATAGCGCGGTTTTATTTTAACGCCTCGCGACAATTGGTCGTTTTGCGCAAAAATCGAATAAAACATGTGTTACATTAATGCGTGTTCTCGTTAAACGACATAGCAAGTGTTGCCTCTAATTTATCGTTCAAATAAATTTGCTACCGCGAATTTGCGATACAAGTTGGCTAGAAGATGAGCGCGATTGCTTTCGCAATAATTTAGCGTCTTAATCTTGGCGTTACAAAGTCACATGTCATCGACAATTTCGTCGATTTGATTCCGCGACTGTACCTAGATACGCTGACCACGCTGCGCATACTCACATACAGACATACACATACCTATCCGTGTATACACTAGCAAGGTACGTTGACTTACTACGCTGACTTACACGCTCGTACACGTGAAAGAGGGAGAGAGAATGAGTGAGTGGAGAGTGAGAGAGAGGAGGAATGAGAGAGAGAGAGAGAGAGAGAGAGAGAGAGAACACGCACACGTCAAAGTAGCAATGCAGTCCGCAAATGCGAACGCGGCCCACGCACACCAATGCGGGGAGATGCAGATACGTCGTCTCCCGGGGTTCTTGACCCGCGCAACACAGATAATACCATACGCATATACGTCATACGGTACGCCGGGAAGATGTTACCAAGAAAATATCGCGCCATGTTTCTGCGACGGTACGGGCCGCAAAGTCTTGATGAAAGAAAGTGAGAGATTGAGAGAAAGAAAGAGAGCGAGAAACCGAGTGTACGAGGACGAGAGCGAGTGAGAGCGAGAATGAGAGAGAAGAAAAATCATACCGTATCTACTGACAGATAGCGGAACTTTAAGATCGCATTAACGAGCTCGAGCATCGGCGATTCTCGTAATTAGCAAGACTATAAATATCGCTCGTAAGGAAACCTGAGAGAGAACCCAGCTAACGATTCTCGCATAAAAACGTCCGCGAATGTGTGCAGTAATAAATACAAAATATTGTATCGTCGTATCGTTTTTACGAAAATTTTATTTTTATCTTGGAATGATTTTATATATCGCGATTGATACATTAATTTAAGCCCGATCGATTAAAACGATAATTATCTCCCACACGAAGCAGAAATACTCGTTTTGTCATTTTCAGTTTATCGTTCTGTCGGATCGATAGGATTGCGCTTTTTTTTTTTATCGACACAGTAGTTGGACGAAAACAAACTTTTTAGCAAAGACGGTTAGTAGTCACAGGACGACGAGAATCGACAACTAACATATCCTATCTTGCCTGATAGTCTCGTGCCTCTGCGGCGGGGCTTGGAGGTGCAGTAGGTGCCGGCGGTGGTGGAGGAATGGGCAACATCAGTGAACGCACCCTCGAGGAATGCTGGTCTACCCTGCAGCGAGTGAGTTGAACACTCAGCCCGTTCACAAGATCCCTTTTATTAATGCTCTCTCCTTGCCCGACGCGTTCCATCTTAAGTTCCTCGCTTTCTCTCGTCCGATCACCGACGGCCGAGGTTGTCGCTCTGTCGTTTTTCATTTACTTATTTTGTTTCGACTTATTTCGTTGGCTGCACGTCCGACGCACTGCGTCTCGTCTCATTCGTTGTTATTACTTTCTTTTATTTTTTTTTTTTTCGTTTATCGTCACTCGCAGAACGCCATTCAGTTCTCGCTGTCTTGCCTGCAGTAATTTTGCTTCCGCGCAAACTCACCGAAATGTCTCGCGATCGCCCTTGTCTCGTTTTGCATCACGATCGCTTTGCTCACTTATTCGTTCGTTATTTTCATCTTGACATTACGTTATCTTTTTTTCCATTTTGTCTCTGGCATGTATATGTATATTTGTACGTTTTGTACCTCGTCGGCTGAATGTGTCGCCTTGTTCCTGTGCATTGTGAAATAGTCTTACTTATTACTCGTAACTGACCGCCAGCGGCGGTTCGAACGATCCTCGTTTTCGTTCGCGCTCGTACTAACACAAGCGCGTTAGTTATGCCACGTTAGAGATTTCACGAATGACGCACGATACGCAATGTTTTGCGTTGTAACGAATTACGTTTAACGAATTGCGCTCGTGTCACGTACGTGATACGAAGGTACGTATCGTCAGTTTTTCAACGCGGCGACAGTTTTTCGACAACTGGCCAGTCTGCATCGCATGATCGCGAACGCGAGGCTCGTCTCGCGCGACTTCAACGCGTCAACATCGCAAGCACATCAGCGCACGAAAATACGGGAAAAGAAAACGAGCTAACTAACGAGCTCTGAATTACGTTAAACTGTCGTATGATGAACGGAGCAAGGAGGTCCCGGCACGTGGAAAGAAGAGGCAGCGCGCTAAAAAGGCGGGATGTACTCCCGTTTCTTTGCCGCGCGTCCCTCTCTGCGGGAAACTTTAAAATTCTCATCCTCAGAACGAAACAACAATTTGTTTCGTTAAGTAGCCGCAGCGCTCTTTTGTTTTTGCGGCTTCTTTTATTTTAGCGGCGATAGCGGTGGCGGTCGAAGTGACGGCAGAAAAGGTAACGGGAGGGGTGGAGAGAGGTGATGGGGTGCAAGAGGGGGTTGGTCGGGCACTCGTCGTTTCGCCGTATTCCACCTCGTCCTTCCCTTTCTTCCATCGCCACCTTAAAAGCCCTCTCGTCCCGCGCCCCGCACGCGCGCGAAGCGAAACTTTCGGAAAATCGCAAAAACGTCGAGCGATGGCGAAGTTTCCACGTTTCCTCGAGATTTAATTAAAACATTCGCCTCCTTTGTACCGTCCCCACGAGCCGTTCGCGGACCACCAAGCCGTCCAAGCGAGCTATCGTTCTTTCGTTTTGTCCATGTCATAAGAATTGAACATTTTCGATAGGTCAGAATTGATTCTTAATCCTTGAGATGTGTTAACGTGTTGCAGGAGGCTATCGCCTGACATTGTCAAACCAACATTTTCGAAATCATGAGAAAGATTATTGCGTATAACACGGAAAATTATATCGGTTCTGAAAATCTGGCGGTAAATTCGGATAACGCAGCATTGAACTCATTTTGAATGATTCATGATTATTTACGGTACAATTCAATTCAAAATACAAATTTATTTATAATTTTGTGTCGTGTAATGTAGAAAATATTTGAAGAAGTAAACTATTTTCCACAAATTACGTACATACACACAAACACACGCAAAATACAAAGAGATTGAAATATATAAATATATTGAATTACAGTATATAAGAGTTGTAGATTTTTATGTATTGAATCTTGCGATTTGTACTAGATTATTTAAATCGAGTTTATGAAAAACAATTTCAATTAAATTAAATGAAGTGCTTTAAATGAAATCAACCTAAATTGAATCGAGCTCTATTTAATTAAAGATTAGTTAAAAATAATACACGCGAAAGAGAGAATGCACTCTGTTGTTTCTTATAATGACGTCGCCGGTGATGAAAAAATTTCGACAGACACTTGAGAATTTTTATTGTAAGCTCGTGGGAAAGACGAAGGGTTCCGTGCAGCGGAGAGGATGAGACGAGCGCGCCGCGATATTACATAAACATTCGCCGAGGACGTTTCTCAGGGCCGGGGGTGCACCCGCGTTTTTTTGTTCTACCGCATGCTACCTCGAAAATTAAAATCCAATTATTTCGACGCCTCTGCTCGACCCAGGTCGGCCGATTCAAATGAATTTTTTGCCCGCGCTTCTCCCCAATTCGCTCTTTCAACGCGCGTTAAACCGGTTCGCTCGACGCAACGACCATCGCCAAGTCGCATCCAGACTATGATTCACCCTTGATCGATCCGGGACTACGATTTCGGATCGCGCTGACAGCTGCCAGGAAAAACCAGAATCGTAACGATGGAAGCAGAGGATGGGAAAGCCGGAGGCAGGGAAAAGAAAAGAAAATTCAAAAGAGATCGAATTTTTTCCAAGATACAAATTGTTGCGATACGGTGTTATTATCTCACTGCAGACTGACGTATCTCGACAAACGTGTTCCCATAGCATTCATCGCATTTTCTCGGGAGGCCAAAAACATATTTTTCAAAATATTTATTAACTCGATAATTGAATAGAAAACGCGAACAAGATCTGACGGAAATTTAATAACTCTTAAATCACTTTCATCACACGTAACGATGGATCGACGGATTTCTAATTATTCTAAGACGTGGGAAGAACGGGGAAAATTAATAAAACGCAAGAGCGATGACGCAAACAGTGTATAAAGATTTAATCGTCAAGCGTGACAAAGCAAAACGATCGAATAACGATTCCTATTCCTCTCGCTGCTCTTACTGTGATAGCAAAAAAAGAAAGAACGCGTATTATCTATCTGCCAGTGCATTTACGTCTCCCGGGCATGCAAATCTCAAAGATTCTTTCTCACGTTGCGTCCCTCCGGAGGAGGACTTTTTTTCCTCTTCTCTCATGCCAGGAAAAGGTTCCCGTGTACTATTTAAATAACGGTTCTCGCGCGTGTGTCATTGTTTCACCGCTCTTTCTCTTTCGACGACTAACCCTTCTAGTTACTGCGGAAAGGAGGAATGAAAAAGGGAGGGGGTTGTTCTGTTTCGAGTCGAGGAAGAAAACCGAAAGGGCGGATGGCGGGAGGGGAGGGAAGGGGGGCCAAGTTTCGTGCCGGATAGCCGTTACGGCAAAGACAGAATTACGACGTCTCAAGATGAGGGGTACCTTTCTCCCCGTCTCCCGATGCTTTACCCCCGCCCCCCCTCTTCGCTTGATCCCGGGCGGATCATCACGGAGTTTCTTGGCTTTTCAGTAATTTTCTATGATTTTCGGATCGCATGATCGACAACAATAACGCGCGCGCATTCGGCCTAATCGAATGCATTTCGATCGCTCGAAAGTCGGTGAATCTGGAAGAAGCAGCGGGTGATAATGTCCGAGAGGCAATTTATTTCTGAAATTTAATTTTCTTAGAGAAGAGAAAGTTTCTCACTACGGAAGTGTCGCTTAAAGGTAAAAGAAACCATTTCGAAAAGTTTGCAAGCGCATAACTAAATAAAATAAGATGGAAAAAGCAAGTCATGGCAATGTATAAAAGCGAGATGTAAAAAACTTTCTTTAACGTAATCGGTAAAAAATAAAAAGCAGAGAGTTATCACGACGACAATATTCACAAAGACTCGAAATTCTCATATTCGGATATTACCACGATCCCTCGTGAGTTTCCATTTTACGAGTAATCGGATTCGCGTGGGTGTATCTCCGCGAGTGACGCGGGTCGCGTCAAAGCACAGGTACCGTTCGCGGTCGCAAATGATATGTCAAAACCGCGCGATCGGTACAAAGAGTCGTTTACGGACGGAAAAAGGTGGAAGACGCGACGCGACGTCGCAGGCCTCGACTCTCGCGCGCGCGCGCGCGCGCGCACACGGCACGCACACGGTTCTTTCCTCTCTCACTTTTCTCCCCCCGTTCTCTCGTCTTTCGTACGCGGCTTCGCCGTGACCTACCCCAAACAAACCACGAGAAAAAGAGGGAAGAGAAGCGCGCGGCGGTGAGACCGCGGAGGCGGCGAGGGAGGGCGTACTGCGGAGAAAGAATGAGAGAGAAAGGGACGGAAAGAGAGTGCGTTCGCGCCCACACACGCCCGAGAGGTTGCAACACGCGGACAAGGAGGAGAGCCGCGGACGAGAGAAGGAAGATCGCGAGAGGAACGGCCGGGAGGTGGCAAGAGGGAGGGGAGCGGAGGGAAGGGAAGGAGGGTGCGCGCGCGGAACGGAGTTTATTCTTCGTGCTTTTTTTTATCGTTCGTTGACTCCACGCTCTCCAGCGCGCTGCTCCACGATAAGATTGCACTGGTAATGGGGAAAGAGAAAGAAAGAGGGAGGGAGGGAGGGAGAGAGAGAGAGAGAAAGAGAAAACCTTGTTCCACGAAGAAGCGAAATCCGCCCGCGCACGCCATGCGTGCCCGTTGCTTATATTACGTTTCAGCGTATGTATATCGGTGCGTTATCGCGGAAATATCTCGTTGCCGTAGATTGTCCGAGATTCGCGGGAAATCGAACGGCGTGGATGAATCCCGTCGGTTATCGCGCGAATTTTTACGCGGCACGTAAACGTTAAAACGCGGAGAGAGACACGTGTTGCGCGATTATCGCTCGCAGACAAATATACACCAGGCTATTCCGGACGAGTTTATTTTTAATGACGTCTGTGCGCTAACGACGCCGCGGCGGTTGTAACCGCTGCTGATTGCATACATTACGCGGAAATTAAAAGCAAGAAAACGAAAAAGAGATGAGCGTCGCGAAACACGGTGTACCGTGATAATAGACGGGAGGGCGAAAGTTGTCCGGTGGGCCACGCGAATATTTGTTGCGGACAATTATGTCAATTAGCGGCACGTATTCGCGCGACGAACCGGCGAATTCGTTATTAAGCGGG